CTAAGCCACAGCATAAACAAGTGTGGCGCCATCTAGGCACAGAAAATCTCCCTGAGCCCACGCCATATAGCCGTTCATATATCCATTAGGTAGCCTGAAGCGCTACCATATTACCCATTACAACCTTTTAATTACACACAAGATCGTGTCGAGAACCTAGACGAAAAGGAGGGCCCATACGCCCACAACACTCTTTGTCTCCATTTTTAACAAGAATGACCTAATATTGGGCTCTATTAGCCACAAATTTAATCTTTCAAAAAAGTTTTCTTCCAATCAGGCATCAGCAAATCTACATGGACGAGCAATCTGCGGTCTTCTTTTGTTGCAAAGAGATGTCTAGATTGTTTAATTCATATAATGGCAGAAATACGTCCCATAATGAGATCAGAAAAACTTAACACATGTAAAGACTTATGAGCTAATAAGTCCTGGATCCTATGATGGCCATCGAAAGGAACTTGTGTTTATTCTGTCCTGAACATTTTCAGTAATCTGAAACTGATACTGAAAAATCACTCATGCATTTTAGGAGATAGTGCCAAGTAGTACCTAACTCATTACCCATGTTAGTGAAGAAACCGAAAGTTACTATTTTTTGCCACTCTAGGCATGGGCTGGATTAAGATACCTCTAGACGTGTATTAGTGATACTGAAGACCTATAAGCAGCTCGGTTCCCCAGAGACGAACCGTAACTTAACATATCAATCATATATGTCACGGGTTGACAATATTGTGGCTTAGACAGGCAATCAAGTGAGATTCAAGGCGGCCACATGGAATTTCATTACAGCCAACCTTGTTCTACCTCAGATTAAACTAATTGCAATCTTTTTCCACCCTTTATTGAACAAATCACGATAAACTTTTCATGGCTCAGGTTATCTTTTTAAAACACATGCTCAAAAGCTAGTGTATGCAAACATTTGCGGCACCATTGACGTCGAGTAACAGCGGTAACTCACAAAGCGGCAATCCTCTCCGAACAGCAGTGAAATTAGAATTCGAGTTAACGACTATGGCTAGTAGTAACAGCGACTTCTCAATGAAAATTGAAGAAACAATAGATAGAAGGGATCAAAATCTGATAGAGCAAATAAATACTATGAAACTGGATTACGAACAATAGATAAATCTCATAAAAGAAGAGATGGCGTTAATAAAGGCACAGATGCAACAAGTCACTTGCTTAGATCCCTCCACCAATAATGATGAGTTATTACGAAAAACAACCCTTTCCAGAGTCCGGAGTCCCATAACCACAAGGATATATCGAAATGATCTGCAGCATACGGAGTACTCTTGTACATCTATGAGCATGATTTTAAGCAAGATGGGTTCCTGGAATCATCTAATTTTTTTGTGGCTTATTAGTCGCGCTGTTACTGGAAATGCAAATGATTTGATTATTGGACCTGTAGAAGATATGATGAAGGATTAGAAAGCATGGGACGCACTATGACTACTCAATTCGAAAGATGAGGTATTTCAGGATCGAAATGCTGATAGGACTGCTTCGAGGCTTCTTCACGTTTGTAAGCAATTTAGAGACGAGCGTCTGTTTTCATACTTGCCTCATTTACAGAAATTACTCGCTCGGAGCCCTATTACTTCGTGCGAAGATATGCATAAACTGCATTTGATGGAGGATTTAATTAATCAGTCTACATAAACGTGTCATGTTGGGCGTAGCCAGCCAATCACGTTTAAGTTCTAACAGAGTTCTTTATATGTTATGTGGACGGATTAAGAAAGCAGGCATATTAAAAACAAAGTCTTACAATGATGGAGATATGGATTTTTTTCGACAATGGAACACGCGGAATTGCGGGGGGCTTATTTCTCGGGCGCAACCAAGGGTTATTCACGTATCAGGCACTTCCAGCCAACAACAAGAAAAATGTCGATGGGTACACCAAAATGATTGGCATGAACAGAACAAGTGCAAAATGAGTAACTCCGAAAGAGATTCAATGGAGGAAAGGAGGGGCTTTATATTAGATGTGGCAACTATTAAATTATGGATAGTTTGGAAGCTACAAATTCTAGATATAAAGTTTTAGGTTTTAGGTTTACAAAGCTTGGAGTTACGTGTTTCGGGCAAAGGTGTTTTGCTTGGGTTATGGTAATAATAACTCTAAATCTTCTGACTTGAAATATTTGCTGTGGTTATGAACTGTGAGGTGTATGGCAATTATGACTGTGCTGTCCGTCAGTGGAGTCGCACGGGCTCAAGTGCAGTGGTGAGTCGCGGAGATGGCGCGATCGACACTGAGTGCGTATCACTGTAGCCAAATGGGTGTCAGTAGGTATCAAATGTGAACTCTTACTGTCAATGGTGATCTATGAAGGTGATGCTAGACGCGCATCCTGACGATTGATAATATCATCTAATGGATGATGTGAAGTATGATATTATTCTGATAGATTGATTCACCAAACTCGGCAGGTGAAGAGATCGTAGAGTACATGAACAGCGTCTTAGCACCAGCCTGTATTTTCCACCCTTTCCTAATCCAGCAGCCGCATGCTTGGATAATCAAAGGTTTCGAAATTCCCTTTGGTGGGTACTTACGGAGGAGGTTCAACTGTTTGTGTAAGCGAACAAACCTCATAGTGGTATCTGCAAATGAAATCCAGAGTATGAGTGTCTCTAACGTCAAAAGAGTCTTCCAATATGTATACATAGCATCGGTCATGTGTCATAGCTAGATAGCTAAAGACACATTAAATGATTTTAAAAATTTTTTAAATTTCTGTAGAGTAGAATGAGAAACTTATTGTCGTGTTGATGATGAGCCCATCAGTGGTAGGAGTGGGAGTTTATGGCTCTGGAAAAACCGGGTCATCGAAAATTAGGAAAAGAATGCGAGGATAATAGGGGCTTTGGGGAGTTTATTCGAATATTCCGGGATACATCCAAGGCATTCTTCCCTCTGAGAATGACTCATTAAAAATTGCGCTCCGTCTCGTGATCCTCTTTTGCCCTAGCTATGGTTTAGTCCTCTCCAGGGCAAATCATCGGAATCTCTAGAGGTACCATGGGAGAATAGGGACGTCACTGGTCTTTTACCTTTCTACCAAACTTTGAAGTCTGTTCGGTAAGGGAGTCCGCCTGCTAAAATGGCAAATTTCTTAGACCGAGCCACTATCTGTTCTTCCGAATGAGTATTATGATGATAAATCACTTTTGAAATCTCACTGAATACTGTGCCTTGAACCATGCCCTTCATTTCATTGTGTAGAGCAATAGATCGATTTAGCGTTGCGGTGTGCATCATTACATAGTGACGTGAAAGTTTGCGTACTCATGCTTGTCCCATTATCGAAGCACCCTCTTTTTTTGAGGGTAATGGATAAAATAACACCATTTGATTCATAGTCTTCATCTTTCAAGGATTACAGGCTCGATGTTAAGACTGGATATTCCCTAAAATATTTAGGCTTGTAGTCCGATAATTAGGACGGTGTCGAAGGCAGTGTGAGCAACAAGATTTTTATTGTAATTTCATTTTATTGTCCTATCTGAGTCTTTGACTATGTAAGACATGCAGGTTCTCTCTAATTTTAGGCCAAGCATACCTATGCCAGCAGTATATCCCCTTCTTTGCCTCCCACACAGCTCCCCTCAAACAGTACCATTCCCAACATCATACTCCTCAATATCCTGAATTTGACCCGCATATAAACTATTCGAGTAATATTACCCTAGTACGCCGTTGTCGTTCTGTACATACACCCCGCGAATAATACAATACGATTTTAACGCATCTGAGCTAGCGATCTTCAATCTCAAGATGGCTGTCGAGGCTACACAGATCCTATCAGGGCTACAAAAACGAACAGTGTACCCCTGCATCATTTGACGATTATCTTCGGTAAAGTTAGTAGTCTGGCTCATGCTTTTGTAAACAATATCGTGGTACGCAAAATACTCAATGTTGAAACAAACTTCCCAAAGAGAAATCTTCACTTAATTCAAGGCTTCTTCCTTTACCTGCTTAGTCTCGTGAACTTGTCCTCATCACTCCTAATTCTTTCATAAATGTCTATCTCGCTAGGTTTATACATCGCGTTCGAAGCTCTCCGGTACGCTCTTAAAGGCTGTCCAAGACTACGTACTTTGTCAATGAGTAGTGTGGCCATTGAGGAGAGAAACAACTAGTTCGTTCTTGTATACTTAAAAGTGCCCTTGTCGGAATTCATCTTGATGGGAATGGAATTTTTGTATTGTTAAAATGTGGGCTAACGTTTCCTAAGTTACGAGATTAGGTAGAAGCCAGACACTGCCAGAGTTGTCAACTCCTAGGTTAGTAGAAGCAAACGCTGACGGGTGTTTAGTCTTCGCACACCTGTATTTCGCGTGATTCCTGCATAGGTCAAAGAAGACGTACGGAGGCCCTTCAGTCTTATATCTTGACTCTTATACTCATTCCTTATTCCCTCCTGAGGCTATACAGTTCACAGATTGAACCTGTAGATTGTCGAGCTATTTTGTAGACTTGAGAACTAAGATGATAATCTATTAATTATAATGATCCCTTTCTAAGATTAATTGCTTAAAGCTGGCACATGATCTACCACGATATGAAAGCGATCCTTACTTTACTTCCATAATATCGCTTTAATGTAGACTGAGCTGGCCAACATGAGACCTTACGGTTTTATTGTGAGCTAGCACGATGTTAAATAATAATAAATAAATAATAAAAAATACCATAATATCGCTGTACATATAGTTATATTGCTTTTTACATTTCTTAACCTTAAAACATGACGCCGATGAATTTTCTCACGATTGTTAGGTATCAAGCGTGCGTGATCCTATATGAGAATGCTTGGATTGTTAATTAATCGCTAGGTTTAAAGTGAAATGGAGGATTAGCTTACCATATGTCATGTCTGTAAGGTAGGCTAAGTTAATACGAGTGGCGGTATTCCTAGATGTGACCAAACTGGACGGTATTGAAATTCAAAGATGAAACAAAAATTTTGTATTTAAGCCCATAATGGTGCTGTGACCTCTACTGCTCGCTCCACGACTCCTCTGACCCGTTCCCCTAGCACACGACTTGTACATTCTACCTCTAAATCTTCCAGCCATACCTTGGCCACATTTTTGTCTACATGAATCTCAACACCGGGCACTGGAATACCAATGCTGTGTAATCGCTCAATCTCGCGTTTTTGCTCTATTTCCAACTCATTGTTGGATGTCATGGGATCATCACTATTTTCTTCTATTATGCTGAGAGGTGGAGCATGAGAAGATAGCTTAGGGGTTGGAATAGGAATAATATTTTCACTACCAAACTGAGCCTCGAGAAACATGAAAAGTCTTTCAAGACGCTCAGTGGGAGATAAGTGTGCGTGTGGATTTTGAGCGGGAAGTTTGTGCGAGTGAGAATGTGCACTCGAAGATTCTGTAGGAGTTAAATAGTGTCTTAAAAGGAGAAAAGGAAACAAACTTTTGACAGCCGCAGGACTACTTTCCACAGAAAATAAAACGGCCATAATAGCATCTGCGATTCCATCGTTCAGAATATTTCCCTCCCATTCAAGTTCAATCTCGCCACTTTTCCAGTGGTTGATAGTAACACATCCCATAACAAGGTAGGAAGTTATCTTGCACGTTGCTTCTTCTACTTTGATATCCGATCCATTTCCATGTTTGTCATCATTTGTGTGTGTTTTCGAGTTCTGGGTATCTGAGATCTCTTCTATACTTCCAAACGTTCCTTCAAGAGCCCACTTGATCAGTTCAATCCCTGCTGCACCCATGGTCAATCGCTGTTTACAAGTAATTGTGGTAGTTGTTAGGCCGGCATATTCCCGCAAGTCTTCAGGTGCCATTAGTGACATTTTAAAGTCGTTTTGAACAAGGACACCAGTTATAAGTTGGGATTGATTCCCATTTGTATCTGGGGGTGGAATTGATGCCAACTTGCCGACAACTTTAGCAGTCTTATCAGCTTTAAAGGGTATTCGTAATTCTTCACAATTTCGTGGACTAAAAACTTTCACTTTTGTCGTTTTGTCTGCGTTCAGAGAGAGAAGTTTTGATTTCAGACGCATCATATTGTGTTGTTCACCGTGAACGAGAATCTATAGTTTTCGTCGTTAGAGGTGTGAGAATAATTAGTGATCGGACTCACCACAACTGGAGCAGCGATTTCCTCGATAAACTCTCTATTTTCTACCCCATCAACATGTGCGGCAAATGATAATTCTTGGATACTACATCTCCGCGGAATCATGACTTTTTCGTTCACTCCACCAGGGCCCCGACGTGCGCCACCAACACTACTTCGGTTCATGACGGCTTGTATTTGATCTGGTTCCTGCATAACATGTTTTGCCATCGTTCCTTCAACGCTATATCCAGTGATGATGACACCATTCTTTTCGCTCGGTGCCCATCTTTCAAGGAGCTCTCTACTAACACCATTTTGTAGCATTCCTGGACTTGCAAGCATAACGCAACTACCAACGTCATCAAATCGATCAAGATTCTTAAGTGACCTAATATATTTGAAGTCCCAAGGTCCACCCTTACCTGCTCCATCAGGCGATGCTTCGGCCTCCGCCATTCTCTCGCGAAAAAGGCGCTTAATGTTGTCATTCATCGCTCCTACGTATGTTTGGTAGACAAGCATACATTTCCTGGCGAGATTACTAGCATAATATATGGGGATTTTTTGGTACTCAGGATTTCGACCCCAATACTCGTCCAAAATTAGGAGAAGTTCCTGTGCCCGTCCAAGTGCAAACACTGGCATAAGAACTCGACCTCCACGGTTTAGAATTCCTGTTATGGATTTCATAAGAGCAAGTTCTCTTTCGATGCGTGGAACATGCGAAGCTATTCCATATGTTGATTCTGTAATTAGGACATCTATCTTGACGCCCTTGGGCACTTCTGCAGAAATCAAGTGTCGGTCGTCTTCCCTAGAGTAATCGCCTGTAAAAAATATCTTGAGACCTGCGATTTCGATGAGAAACATGGCCGCTCCAAGGACATGACCAGCTGGATATGGTGTCACACGTATGGAAGATATAGTATGAGTCGTATGATAATCAATAGCCTCTATGAGGGGAAAGGTGGATAAATGGTCTGCTTCGGTATAGACAGGCTGAGAAGTTGAGGAAGCGCCTCCAACCCTCACACTGTCTTGGATAAGCCACTTGTATATAGCTTTTGTAGGATGTGTCATAAAGACTCTTCCTTTAAAATTGGTTTTAGAAAGGACATATGGCAAAGATGCGGCGTGATCAACGTGAAAACTACGGAAAAATTAGTTAAATACTATTTCACCACAAACCTAAGGAGGTAGGAAAATATTGGTTATTTTCCCGCAAATAGTTCTATACGCTTCAAGAAATTCATCACGGTAGCAGAACACATTTATTTGTTGAAATGATTTGATTTGAGTCTGCTATACATGAAGAGTTCATCAACAGGGACGTAGAGCTAACGATGTAAGATAGGTCAAAAGGGCGAAAGTAAAATGCTGTCTGAACCTTCCGTGTGGTGCCCAAAAATATGAAATTCGTGCTTACTGGCTGATCAATAGCACGTCAACTGTACTGAGATCAAAATCATCATAGAAAGGCAATGAAGCAAGACCCTCGTAGCCTGCATGCTGCCCAGCATCCAGCTACAAAAATTATCAGCTTCTATGAAGATTCTTTCCATCATCTACCTTACCATGACCGTTTTGCCCTTGTACTGGAGAATGTGACATGACCTTCCTACCTCATTTCCCCCACCGAGGCAAAGAAACATCAATTCATCTGCCGGATCGACTGGCTCTTCGGCCGAGGGTGCCATCGCACATGCCTTCCTTTTAGAGGCCATCTTTGCTAGATCGCTAATCCTGATGCAGTTGATTAATATATTTTATGTGGAAATTGACTAGAAATATCATCCCTGTTCAACAAAGTTTCATTGCTTTAAATGTTGATAGGTTGTACAGAGATTATTGTACTAATGTGTTCGGGTACGCAGGGATCATATATATTGGATGGCAGACGCGACAGCAAGACCAGGCTGAAACGGGAGTCACACTAGCACCCACTAGTGAATTCTGTACGGCAAAACATTTCGAACAATTAACATTGGTCGCGACCATCACACTCCGAACAGCCCAAAACGCAGGGCTTGACGACATCAACAACTTTCAGAGCGCCATAACCGCGGGAAGTACCTAGGGCCCAAGATCTTGAATGGAAGGAGTGTTATAGAACATCAGGCTTTGCGCCTGCCCGGCAAGGAGTGAAGGACAAAGAGAAACTAAGCGCGATCTACGATATAGCCATCATGGCTCAGCAACAGCAACCATACCTGGCTCCTCCTCAAGGATCAGGCTCTCCATCTCTCAGCGACGCGTCCTCAGTAACTCAACCATTATTTAGCAGCTTCGCAAATAAGAGACCTCGACTGTCCCCTAACAATTCTCAACCAAGTTCACCATATGCATCTCAGTCGCCCTACTCTCATCCGCCTCCAGCTCAGTCCACTCATTCACCGCATTTTGCCAACGTTTCTATTCCTCCACAGGCATACACCACTCCCTACTCTAATGGTCACAACAACCCTAGCATAAATATTTCTCAGGTGCACACAAACAATCAAAATGGTCATCAGCACAGTTCAGCTCATCCCACTAACAAGAATAGCTTCTTACAGCAGCCAAGTTTCAATAGTAATTACACAATGGGCTCTGGTACAATGGGCCCACCTTCTAAGCCGGTAGAGAAGCCGAAGGAAGAAAGTATTGATGTAATGGATGTTCTGGGAGGAACTGGTGTTAATTTACGCGAGGAAGAACAATACACGTTTCAACTATATAATGAATCGTTTAACAGTATGGTCACTGGCTCACATTCAGGAACAATATCTTCAAGCTATAGTTTCACCCAATTTCCACCTTCTGATGAGGCTTCTTTCTATGGTGCCGGTCCTGCCAATGCGATTGGAGAAATTGATACCAAATCTCAAGATGAATACATTCAGAAAGCAGCCGATAAGGCGTGGAGAGATGCAGCGCGAAATCTCCATGTATCAAGGCAACGCGAGCTAGACAATCCATTTTTACATGTGCATCTAGTACATGCAAAGTTACGGAAAATGGCGTCTGAACATGGAATAGAATTAAATACAGATAACAAGGGGATGATGGGTATTATGACCCGTCCGCACGCATTTTCAGAGAGAGATATGAAAGTACAAACGGCTGTAGGCCCCGATGGGATTTTAGTGACAACCAACGGTAACTTTCTCCCGTACGACTCAATGCTTGTTGACCAACTCGCTCTTCTTTCTATCGCCACCAAATACCGTTTACAAGGGCTTGTCGAAGATGCTATTAAGCTTGCTAGGGGTCGAAGAACTGGGGCTCATGGATCAATACCTCAGGAGTGGACAGATATTGTAGTTCCCTATAATTATGAAGGAAGCACAAATGCCAGCGAAGACGGCGTACGGTTTGGTTGGGAGAGTGCCGTCAGCCCATATCCAAATCCTTTAAAGCGTATGATAGTTCTTTTGATATCAATAAAAATGACACTAATAAAGGCTTTTTAGGCTCTTTGTCAAATGCTGAGAGGTCCCTCACCTCAGGAAAAATTACCAACGAAGTTATCCTCGCACTGAGGCGCCAGGCGTTAAAGGAGCGTGAGGCTGAAGAAACTCGATTAAGAAAACGCTTGGCTCGTACAACTGGAGTCAACCCTATCAGTAGACAAGCTTCAGTTGCACCTGGTACCCCTGGTTCTGTTGCGCCTGAAGCGATTGATAAGGTGCCAACAAAGAAGGAACAGAAAAAAAAGGTCGAGGCCAAGGTCAACGAAGCTGCTAGTCACGCAGCAGCAAATGTAACCACAGCTCAGTTTCTGGGAGGCGGTGGAGGGTTATTTGGAAAAAAGAAAAAGTATAGCTGGATGAATCCTGCGCCAGGGGGTGGTTCTAGCTCCTCCAAGCGTATCGGAGCGCAGGGCAGTCCTAATACAGGAGGAATTAGCAATGCTCCTGTAGAAAGACTCACCGTAGACGGCGCAAGGAGGCTAGGCACGTGGCGTGAAGATCGAGAAAAGGGAGCAGGCGTTCAGCTCCGCGACTGGATCACTGTCCTTGAACAAGATGGGCATGAAAAGAAAGCCTTGCAAATCGCATATATGAATCTTGACAACTCTGACCCAAAGTAGATGGATTTTTCTGCATTCATATTTCCGTGCTACAAAGGCGTTGCATGTGTGGTGGCGTTTTTGGCTGGATAACTGGCTATGAGAAAAGTAGTGGCCATGGGTCGCAATAATCCATTGCAGTCGGATATAATGGTTGGACGAGAATGAATCTGATCATAATTTTGTTCGTTTGACAGAAGCGGTTACTATAAATCATGTATTCTACAATAAAGGCCCACACTTCCCTCGTGGCCTATCATATAGTTACCGGCAACTACACGTGCCACGTGGCCGACGCCATCGTGTAGGTCACTGGGATAGCGTGCTAGTTTCCAAATCTAGCGAGATAAATCCTCGCTTTATACCAGTCGGCAGAATCAATCTAAAGTTTAGATAACTACTGGATTGAACGCGGCAAAGAGCTTCGCGATTGACTAGTGCCAGGGAGGCCTATTGTCAATTTGCCCTGGCCAGCCATCCACACTGGCTGCAGTGTTTCCGTTGCCTAACGAGACCTTCCTCAGTCACCAAACTATTATTTTTTATGCAGTCATCCCAATTCTGAGCAGCTATTTGGCATTGACATACGAGCAGCATTCTATGAACATATTTGATGGATTTGGACTGCACATATACTCGGAATCTGTATGTCAATTGCAAATATCGACATCGGTTATAATTAATTACAAAAATTAGACGATTCCTCTGCGTAAGCACCCATGTGAGGAAAGGGCCAAAACTTTTGCTACTCAAAGTATGCTTTTGTTGTTTCATACCAGAGAAACGCTCGAAATATGATCGACTATGCTGAGTTTGAACCAGCGGTCTTTTATCCCAAGTGGGAAAGGTGTTCAGGCAATCTGGAAATTTGGCGGGCCAGCCCGGGTAATGTACAACTGCACCATCCAGCCATAAACGTGTTGCTGACGTCACACGTGCTGTGGCCGGCTGAGGTTTGACGCGCACAATGCTCTTCAATTTGTATAACTGCTGGCCGAAATTCGAAATAACACACCCATCGACATTGTATCCCTCCTTCACGTAATCTCTTCTCTCTGTCCAAATTTGTCTCGCGTCTTTCCTCAAGAACTACCCCCCATACCATTGCGCTACAATTTTGGTCCTGCAGCTACTCATATTGTCGTGGTAGTGTATTTGGCGTCTATTCGAGGCCAGAGAGTGAGTCTACGAGAAGTTTCTCCGCTAAAATAAGAATATAAAAAGTCATACTTTTACTCGAGATGATGTTTTGGTGGAATCGATCTCGTTGGGAGCGAGAGATTGATGTGGTACAGTATCTCAAATCATTGCGTCGTTGATCAACTTCTTTGGTATCGACATGTTTGATTTAACTTGGCCCTGGAGAATCATTTCATTATCAGGTTCACAGAGGACACTGCGGATAGGTCTTCAGCTTTTGTCTCACCGTTGATACTGTCGTTGGCGTGTACTTGGAGGCCGACGAAGGCAGTCTGCTTGACGGAGTGGCGATAGAGGTGATAATCACCCCTAATCTGAGATAAATGGTGGAGTGGTGACATCCACACGTATCACGCCCAATGGATCTAAGGCAGTTAATGTAAAGGGCCTAGCACGAACACAAGCTACAGGCAATTCCTCAGCTTACTATTGTTACAGTTATCGCAATTTTGGCCAACGCTATGGAGATTATCCCTCATTTCGCATCGTTTGTGAGACGAATTATGCTTTCATCCAAGCTAATGACAAAATTACAAGTAGATCAACACGGTTTCGGGCCTCTCGCAAGGCCAATGTCGAGCAGCTTGCGGTAGACTCTTGTCGTTTATTCAATTCACGACGTCGCTATCTTGCCATTATCAAAGAGAGCAACACTCCTCTCTGTATGCAACAAAAATGTAATTCTTTTGCTAGAAAATTATTGTGTGATTAAAATCATGAGAGACATTTCTAAATTCACCATGGATACGCCATAGCTTGTTTGCAGTACCTACATCTAGACCCTCGCTAAAACCCCATGGCGACGTGTAGCTTTCGATCTAATCCGCCAGGATCTGCGTTGAGTCAGAGGCTGAGTTGAAGGAATGGCGGAGTTTTGTGATGGGTTAATCTGGCGCCCAATTACGACACAAAGAAACTTATAGAAGCTGTGGAGGGGAAAGTAGCGTGAAGTACCAGCTGGTTTGATAGGGCTTTATGGGGAGAAAAGGACGTTTTAAACGAACACCTAGAGGCCAAAGATTTTATGTTGAGCAAGTTTTAACATGTCGGACTGAAGTCCTGAACCTCAAGACATAAATCTAATGTCTGCAGGGTGCCCTGTAAGCCGTCAGCCTTGTAAAGGAACGAGAATCACAGACACTGCATGCGAAAGCTACCACATAATGATCTATTTTTTTCTATATAAAAGGAGTGTTCTAATGGAACTGTACAGATATGAAGCGTGTACTGATAATCTGCTTATGTAATCTCTTACTTAGCGTTGTGCCTTGTACAAGAGGCAGACATATTTGTCACATCCCAACTACTGCAAGGCTGGGCCCGTGGGTCGGCCCAGCCACTACTACAGGGTAAAACCCGTAACAGCCCTCACCGTAGTCTGCCGAGCCGAATGGCGTCCAGTGCTAGCTATGAGAGCTTCTATCGGAGGGCAAGACTGAACACCTGTTCGCGGTGTCCTCTACAAACCTGAGAGTGAATTATTCTTCCAGAGCCAAGTTCAGTCAAATTTCGCAATATCAAAGAAGTTGGCACACGAAACAATGATTCAATTACTCCACCACGTCACTTTTGGGCCCCCAACGAGTTTGACTCCTACCTAAGTTTCATTTAGCCTATAAGTACGACCAAGTACATCCTCATTACAATGATCACACCTCTCGTTGACTTTCTCTGGCCTCGGCCGGTGACCTAATACACTCCCACGCCAATATTTACACCCGACGCAGGAAACAAAGCGTGGCGCACAAATCTGGGAGACTGTTCATTGGGATTGGCGTGAGAGGATTCAGGAAAAGATCACAAGATGATGCGAAGAATGGATAGAGTCTCGACGGGCGTGGAATTTCGAATTTTGGCAAGGAGTTTTTACAAATCGAGTTTTTTGCGTGGCAAGGCTTCGGTTGCCAGAGTTCGGGTGTTTTTGTCTTGTTTTGTTCATTAACGTGCTAGGTTACATGGCTACCGTTGCACTCCTATTGGAACTTAAGCACGTGTGGGGTTGGGCCGGATCAGGTTAACTAGCGTGAAGTACAGATAAACCTCGTCTCACTTTAATGACCGGACCACCCCAGACTTCACCTATGTGTTGAATCATACCAAGCCTGACCGTCCAGAAACCCGCTGTATACACGCCGTAGCGCGATTTCCTCCTCAGCCTCGGCCACCACGCGCCCGAGCCCTTGACATCCTCATTGACTCCGAAATATAAATGCCGTCCAAGATCTCATCGTTGCTCTAGCCTTGCACCTTCATATCATAACGTTGGGTTGTTTTCTTCATTGGGGATTTGCGTAATCCCCTCGGTGTATCTTCCCTCTTCTTTCTCCTTTGTACACATCCTGTTTCCATCATGACTTTCCTCATTAGGGCGTGTGTAGGTAGGTGATCGGTCGGGTATGGAGGTAGGTCGCAGGTGTAGGATCGATTGAGAAATGCTTCGTCGCAAGTACAAAAGGGGTTTAAGAGATGTCGGATGTTTGAATACGACCCCCAGATAGACCTAGGCCCATTCGTGAATCGTATGTTGGTGATGATGACTTTTTGTTCGACGTTGTTCCGGCTATGAAATCTCTGCCGACTGATTTTTCGACCAAAATATCGAGTGCAACTCCTTCAAGTCGAAAATCCATCAATTGAAATTCATCCCACCCTTTTTAGTGACTGAATCTCAGCTCTGGGAGAATATTTCACTCCCAGGTTCGTAGAGGACGCCACTGACAAGTGCTCAGCCTCCGTCCTCCCAGAGTGCGGGTGTTATGGTTTGCCGAGGAATTTGTCAGGAGCTAGCTTAGTAAACTAGCCGAACCATGTACATAGATTATAGAGTACACACCTCCGACTAGAGAAGAGAAACCTAAGTCTGCAAACATTAGTTCATTGCTCCCAACCCACACGATTGTTCTCCTCTCACATTGCTAGTCACCCATATTTGTCCATTAAGATATCTTCCGCACGCTCATAATCATAACAGCGGGCGACACTACAAACATCGCCATGGTTGGATGGTGCGGTGGTAAATCATCTTAGCCGGTCTGCCAAGTAGAGTCTGGATAGCTTGGACACATATCCCACTGGAGACAGTAGATTGCCGGTTCAAACCCGGCAAAACACAACCACTTTTCTCGCGGCGCTGGTATGCATGGATGACGAAGGCATGCTTGGATAACCAAAGGGTTCGAGACTCCCTTTGGTGGGTACTCACAGAGGAGGGTCGACTGTTTGTGTAAGCAAGCATACCTCATAGTGGGATTTGCGAATGAAATCCAGAGTATGGGTGTCTTTAACGTCAAAAGAGTCATTCAATATGTATACATAGCATCGGTCAGGTGTCATAGCTAGATAGCTGAAGACACATTAAATGATTTTTAAAAAAAAAAGAGAGCTTCTATCATTAATAGTTCTGGGACACCTTTCAGTACGCAAAGCAACTGACAATAAAGAGCATGGCTATTTCATAGTACACGCGCTCTGCAAGAGATATCTCATGGATTATTTACGAATCATAAATATAGCGTGTTACCGAGCGCAACAAAATACATATAGGGGGACTATTCTCAACACCTGTCAGTGGAGTCCCCTACGAACCTCCAGCTTTCACTGCAGAGTCTGTAGATCAGAGATTGAGTAACACCGTCCTCACTTCGACGAGGGTTCCCAATCGCTTGCGCCGTCTGTATCGTCCTCATCTCTCAACACATTCCCCTATCACCATTATCATGAAGTTAACCACAATTAGATCAGATGGTAGGGTCGAAGCCCTTCTCATCGCCAACCCTTCATCATGGAGGAGGTGCCATCCGATGAGTTTCCAGGGCATACCC